TAAATCAAACCTTCCCTATATCTTCTCTTTCATCTAGTGATAAATTATTATCATTAGAGATGTACAACTACTGCACTTTACCTTGAAATATTGTGGATTCCATTTCTTGACGCATTGGTGATATTCCTTTTTGCAAATTACCCTCAGCTAATTCCAATTCTTCTTATTACAGATAATATTCAATTTCACAATACATACCTTTATTATCATCAAAATTCACTGCACTTGCTGCTTCTGGTTCAGCAGTAAAAACTAAAACTTCTTCTGTAGATGAAACCAAAGGCAGCAGCTTAGTTGGTTGTATTTTATCTGCTACATTTGATGCCTCATCCTGAAACAATTTTTTAAAATTGGTGTAAGCAATTTTGTTACTTTTTTGCATACTAGTTGGAATTGCCCAGTCTCATCTAGCAATAAAATCACAAATTATCTTTCCAGCTTTATAGTATGCAGTAATACCTGACTTTTGCCTTAAAATTTCATTTTCCATTGTCCTGAAATTTGGAATTTTATTCATTAATTCCTATGAAATTAAACCATACTTATTATCAATGTAATTTACATATGAAAGAAATATTAAATTTCTATTAGCACCTCATTTAAAGTACTAACCTTCTCTGTGCTATTAATCAGTTGTATACTCAATGACAGCATCAATTGTTGAAATAAACCACTACTAGTTGGTGAGGTTTGTTGATTTTCATCTAAAGCATATAGGTATAAAAAATGTACATCATAATTTAAACAACACAAAATACACAAGTGTTACCTGAATCTATTGCAGTAGAAGTGGAAGGAGCAATGGTTTTATTTGCCTGTTACATGTAAAAATATCAGTTTATAATTATAATCTATTTACTTCATATGCAGTATAGAAGCCAATAGTTAATCTCAGTACTTGTTTTTTTTCCAATTCATCATTACTTGGAACAGCTGCTATTAACTTCTCAGATAAAATCAAAGGAAAGGTGCAAGTGATAGTGAAGGAATTGCCATCTCTGATGACATTCAACTTGATATGCCTGCTACTTTGTGGAGATAATTTGTGAAATATATTAGCTGATAATATCCTGACATCATCCAGTGTGCAATCATCAGTATTTCGATCAACGACAATGGTAATTCTTTCACATTGAAGTGGTGAAGCATATGAAAACCTATCGTGTAAGCAATTTCTAACTTCTGTTTTGCTAAACTCCTCTATAGCATCACTATATTCCTGAATAACTCCCTTAGCACTTTCTATATTGAGCTCATTAACAATAGCCTTCAGCATTTCTATATCATCTAGTGAACAATTTCTCCTAACCAAATCCAAAATGTCTTGAATATTATCACACTGAGCTACTTGAGGCTTTAAATCTTCACTGTAATACCTTAATACATTTTTTATTTTGTTAAGTGT